AGAGTGCTGGGTCTAGATGACAGAGTGCTGGGTCTAGATGACTCTACTACTTGTGCCAAGGGGAATCCTCCCCCAGCCAGATCTGGGATTTTCAGAAGTCCAGCCCTTTTACCCAGCAGAAAGGCAATGCACTAAGGGTGAGCATGTCACCTATGGACTGTTGGGGATTGTTATATACCCTCTTTCCTTTTTTGTCCTGTCCTCCTTAGGTTTTTTCTTGGTTTTGTTTTGTTTCTCATATAATAGTAGGGATCATATTGTATGCTGTGTGATATTTGCATAAACCACTTTTTAATTACTCAGTACATTTCCAAGGAATCAGGTAGGGTAATCCACTGGAACAGTGAGTTCCAAAGAGTCCTGTTGCTGTTTCCTGTGTAACAGAGGCTTCAACCCCTTTTACGGAGCATACAGCCAAGCAGCAGAGCTAAGTACCTGCAAAACAGTGTAAAGGACACCTTACAGAGAAGCTGGCTACAGAGCTGTGAACCTGTTCATGGGGAGGCAGGCTGCACAGCAGCAAGCCTGCAGATTGGCTAATGGAAAACCTGTAGGCCCAATCCTGAGAATCAGAGACCAGGTGACCAGAAGGAGGTTGAGTCAAGGGCAATATGGCTAAGGACAGACATTTAAAAAGCCTGAGCCTGAATTGATTCAATCCTTGCAGGTTTGTCTAACCTGGCTAGGCTAAATCACTTTGTAACTGTAAAGACATCCCAGACTTGCAGGTACATGCCTGCAGTGGCTCAGGCTCAAAGCCAGGGGGTGCTAAAGCAGCCCTCCCTTCCCTTCCTCAGCACTGAGCTGAGGGGAGGCATGGCCAGGTCCAGAAGGATGCTCTGATTAGCCCAGCATGGAATTGATAACAGTGTTTATCACCCCAAACTCAGTGTTTATCATCCCATTAAAAATAAAGCAGAGGGATATTACCAGCTACTTGTTGATTCTACTTGTTGATTCAGCATGGACCATAGCCAGCATGTGGTCTTCTAGCTCAGTGCTTCTCAAAGTGGTGGTCCACAGACCGGTGCCGGTCCATGAGCCACCGGTCGCAGGTCCGCAGCGAGTTGCCAGGAAAGAAAGAAATATATTTTCAGAAGCATAACATTGATATGTCAAAGTGCCACAGTTCATACATTCCAACACTCCAGGTGATGTCACATCGTGCGAGCTGAGGAAAGAGAAAGAAACAGCCGGTTGCGCATTTGTGTAGCACTGTTAAACGCAGTTGCTGCCACTGGCTGAACCGGGCACTGCTCCCTGGCCCACTGGAAAAAAAATTGCCGGCCTGCCACATCAGATAGTTTGAGAAGCACTGTTCTAGCTAATATACAGATAGCTCTCATCAAGGCAGAGGGGAGGGGGGAATTCCTGACTGTCGCTGCCGTGCACTGCAGCGAGGGGTTCGTGAGACCTTACGGCCCGTCAGGCAGGTACTTGTGACGCTTGGAGTGGAATTAATTAGGCGGACACTTATCGGTTGCAAAGCAAGATTGTTTACTGACGCCATCAAGGTGGTGAATGATGGAGGTCAGAGATACCTAGTTAGTTACAGCTTAGAGTTCATTAGGTAAGTCTGCAAAAGTGTTCGGGCCGGCAGTCGTTGATTTATGTCTGAGATTGAATCGGTGACGGGGAACTTAGACAAGTGATCAAATTGTCTAATTACTCTGACACGTATGTTCAGAGGTCTCCAAGGTGTGTACGGAGGTCTCCGACTTCGCGGAAGTGTAAGCGGGTTTTATTTGTATGATAGCCAATTGCTTTTCACCACGTCATAAATTGAATTAGAATCGCCAGTTATATAGCGGTTTTCGCTCAGGTATTATCACAGGGCTACTCCCTGTTTTACTCTGACCAATTATAATGATTTATGTAAAGCACAGAAGGTTAAAGTTTCATTTCATGTTAGTGTCGCAGTTATAAATCTCTTTTGATGGCAAGCACAGTGAAAAGGCTGTTACCAGCAAGAATTTTTGTTAACCCTTAGCTAACTTAGTGCGGAGTGGTATCTCTTGCTTGTGGCATGGGCACTACTTAATTGGGTTGTGACACTGACAAGGGACAGACATAAACCACTTTGACCCAAATCA